GGGAAAGCGCCACCTAGCAACGGTATCTAAGATCAGGGAGCAGCGGTTCCCCCTTCTGTATGATTCCTGCGCCGAGGATCCATCTGGGCGTTCCGGAGGGGGGAGCTGCGTGGGTGTTTCCAGCCGGGCCAGAGGGAGATCTTGCCAGCCTTCCAGTGAGGAGTTAGGCGGCAGTTGATGGAAAGTGGGTGGTAGTGGTGGTTGGGGACTGGGGTGGGGGCTTGGTAAATGGCAGTGTGTAGAAAGCTGGTAGGACTGCCAACTTCTTGGGCAACGTTTGCTGGAAGGGAAAGAAGCTGGCAGTTTTTTTTTTTTTTTTTTTTTTTTGTTACCCAGCTCCGCGGGGGAAAGCGCCACCTAGCAACGGTATCTAAGATCAGGGAGCAGCGGTTCCCCCTTCTGTATGATTCCTGCGCCGAGGATCCATCTGGGCGTTCCGGAGGGGGGAGCTGCGTGGGTGTTTCCAGCCGGGCCAGAGGGAGATCTTGCCAGCCTTCCAGTGAGGAGTTAGGCGGCAGTTGATGGAAAGTGGGTGGTAGTGGTGGTTGGGGACTGGGGTGGGGGCTTGGTAAATGGCAGTGTGTAGAAAGCTGGTAGGACTGCCAACTTCTTGGGCAACGTTTGCTGGAAGGGAAAGAAGCTGGCAGCCTAAGCTGTGGGAGGGTTCCAGTAGAGAATGTGAGAATGAAAGACTTAAGATGGAACAGGAATAAATACCTTTATTGACAAACGCAGCAGTCCCTGCATCTAGTTTCTAAGAACGTTATTCTCCTTAATAGATTTAAAAGAGGTTTTCGCATTGCATGCAATATGAATAGCCAAGTTTTGCATAACTCGGCCACAAAGACTTGTAAGAATTTTATAGAGAAAGATTACCTTTGGGTCCTGCCTACAGTCACCTAGTGAAGAAACCAACTCAGGCATTCTTGTCCCCAGTGCTTCTTGGGATGGAGGAGATACCTAAGAGTTGCTCGTGCAACTTGCTAACCTTGTGGACCCGGTGGTAGATTAGCACCATCGGGATAGACGTGGAAAGGAGGGCTATGTAAATTATAATTAAGGATAAAATTTGGCCAGTTGGCTGTCATATTCTGCTTCCAGCATTCTTTTTATAGGAACAGTGAAGTGCTTATGCATCTTGTCCCCTTAAACTTAAATTTTGATCCGCAGCTGTTTTAGATGCTGATTGAAACTTTGTACTTTTGGAAGCGCAGGGGTGTAGTTAAGATCTTCATAATGAGGAATGGGTTCAAAATGGGGTATTTTGGGCTAAGTTTTTACCATTTTCTTGGATTTTGGGTGCATGGGAAATAGAATGACAGTTTAATTTACACAGAAGAACACGATAAACTACAGCTGTTGATGTCACCTGCTATCAATGAATAAAATATTATAGAAGGTATGTAGGTGTAATTACAACTAACAAAGTGCTGTCTTTGAGGCTGACCTTTCTGCCTTTTACCTATTCAGCCCCTTCAGTCTTAGCTCAGACTGCAAGTATGTTTGCATTAATGCACTGTGTAGGCGACTTGGAGCTGGGGAACATTCTAAGAATTTGCAGATGTTAACGTTCCTCCTTTCTGCCCCTACAGGCTCTGGCTTATCCAGGAGACAAACTAATCTCTGGTTTAGCACTAAAATTCTAGTGTTTTTTTCCTTTCCAGGAGTTTGACAAGAAGTACAACCCCACTTGGCACTGCATCGTGGGGAGGAACTTCGGTAGTTACGTGACACATGAAACCAAACACTTCATCTACTTCTACCTGGGCCAAGTGGCCATTCTTCTGTTCAAATCTGGTTAAAAGCATGGACTGTGCCACACACCCAGCGATCCATCCAAAAACAAGGATTGCAGCCTAAATTCCAAATACCAGAGACTGAAATCTTCAGCCTTGCTAAGGGAACACCTCGATCTTTGAACCTTTATTGTGTTTTGTACAGGGTATTCTCTGTACTAGTTTGTTGTGGTTATAAAACAATTAGCAAAACAGCTTACATTTGTATTTATTTTCTATTCCATACTTCTGTGTCCCATGTTTTTTTCCTCTCAAAATCCATTCCTTTAAAAAAATAAATCTGTTGCAGATGTTTACGTGTGTGAACTACAATTTGTTCAAATAACATAGGGTTGAAGGCGGCTTATCACTTAATCAGGTGACCAGGTTGGTGGGGGTGAGTCTTTGAAGTAAGTTTCTGTGGGTTATAATAGACTACCCATTTTGGTATTGCTATGGTTTGTCCTCTCCAAAACTCATGGTCAAGCTTAATCCCCAATGTGGCAGTGTTGAGAGGTGGGGCCCTTGGAAGGTGATGGGATTGTGAGGGCTCTGCCCCCATGAATGAATCCATTGATGGATTAATGGGTTATCAGGGGAGGGTAACTGGTGGCTTTATACAAAGAGGAAAATAGACCTGAGCTAGCTTATGAACATACTCTTGCCCTCTGGCTATGTGATACCCTGAGACACCTCAGGACTGCAGAGTCCCCATCAGGAAGAAGATCCTCACCAGGTTGTCCGCTTGACCTTGGACTTCCCAGCCTTCATAATTGTAAGAAATAAATTGCTTCTTTATGAATTACCCAGTTTCAAATATTTTTTTGGCAGCCTGCCTTGGGTATTATGTTAGAAGCAACAGAAAGTTGATTTACAGGTACTCGTGAGGCTTTCTAATTCTCACCATCCTGCATGTAGAGATATGCACAGCAGAGAAACTTCTGGATTAAATTTTAGTCCTAACCTGAAAAAAACCAGCATTTAAGGAGGTTTTTTTGTTTGCTTTTTGTGGCAGCTGGCCAGTAGGGGGATCTGAACCTTTGACCTTGATGTTACAACACCATGCTCTAACCAACTGAGCTAACCGGCCAGCCCAAGGATAGTATTTGTTAAAAGACTTGCTATAGAATGTTCTGGGCCTTTGGCCTCAGATGGTGTTGATGGATGTGTAGTAGTACTCCTTTAAGCTTTCTATTGTTGTGAAATGGAAATACGTTCATAGTAAAGTTGGGATAATGAAATGTACAGCTGGATTCTAGGCTATCCCCCACTGCCATGTCTTGCCCCAAAAGAATACTTTTAAAGATCGAAGGTGATCTTAAAAGGGGAAATAAAAGGTTTTGAGCAGCAGCCTTCCATGCTTTTCTAAGAATGTCTTTGCAGACATTAAAACTTTTAGGTTCATAGTAAAGTTGGGATAATGAAATGTACAGCTGGATTCTAGGCTATCCCCCACTGCCATGTCTTGCCCCAAAAGAATACTTTTAAAGATCGAAGGTGATCTTAAAAGGGGAAATAAAAAGTTTTGAGCAGCAGCCTTCCATGCTTTTCTAAGAATGTCTTTGCAGACATTAAAACTTTTAGCTTGCTGTTGCTGTGCTTTAAAAGCTGTAGTAAGAAACTGATAAACAAGGGTATAGTAAAGCTTTTTCATTAAAAGACCAAATTAAAGCCGTGGTTTTTCCTGCTATCAATTCTAGGAAGGTTGCAATCTTATGAAGGAAAGCATATATGGCAGACTTAGCTTTGGTAGGCAGAATAGAAATATGGTAGAGGCTGGAACAACCCACACCCATCTTGGGAAATTGCAAGAAGGGTCTTGACTTCTAGTTTGCCTATTATTTTCTCATGAAGTAAGGCTTTTTTAGACTTTGGACCTGTAAAATGCCATTGAGATTTCTGAGCAGCCAGGCTACCTACACAGAAGGCAGTGGTAGATTTATCTTTTTTTTTTTTTTTTTTAAAGATGACCGGTAAGGGGATCTTAACCCTTGACTTGATGTTGTCAGCACCACGCTCACCCAGTGAGCAAACCGGCCATCCCCATATGGGATCCGAACCCGTGGCCTTGGTGTTATCAGCACCACACTCTCCCGAGTGAGCCACAGGCCGGCCCGGCAGTGGTAGATTTAAATCGATACGTGATAACCCCATCTTAAGTGTAGCATTAGGTCAGTAACATCTTTGGAAGTTTTTCTTTACCACAACTTGTTTTAGGAGTCCTAATGAACTAATGAAGTTGTGCTACATTAGAACTGGGAGAGTTTCAGGGTAGAGGTGCAAAAATTTGTTTTTACTGTTTACTGTGGTAGTTGAAATGGAAGAAGAGTTTTTTACCCTGCAGGAAAGGAGGATGAGGTACTGTGGAACAGGAGACTGCAATAGGGATGATCTAGGTTTGTATTTATATAAACAGACTGAAAATGTTCTCATAATTAATCTTTTTTCTATCCCCTTTTCCTCTTCAGTGATCTAGCTATATTTCTATTTGAAGCCCAACAGGAACTTGACCTCCAAAGCTGTAACTTGTTCAGTTAGATCATCTATTTGGAGTAGGGCTATCTCCAGTGACAGACCCTACAGCTGGACATTGGGGGGTTCTAATCTAATTTGATCAGGCCCATATCTACTGTCAGGAACTTGGCAGCTTTTAACTTTAATTTTTTAAATTCTGATGTGAGAAAACCATGTTGCTATGGAGATAAGACTGGGTTGATGGTTTATGAAGTTCCTTCAAATGCCTGCTTCTTCCTGTTAATTTTAAAAGCCAATAGCCTCCAGCTGGCTGAAAAAATGTAAGCTAAAAGTTTTCTTAAGGCTTAGCATTTGATAAAATGCTTTTAGCTGCTGTTGTTTGAGATAGTTGTATATAGCTAGCTATATGTGGAACCTTTTTAGTAACAGGGCAAGACACTGTGAGTGAAGGTATATAAATGATCCCCACTGTGCTGGGCCAAGAAGCAGCATATGTGAAGCCCTTTCAAATAGCCTTGGGATAGCTGGTTAGCACAGCTGGTTAGGGCATGGTGTTGATAACACCAAGGTCAAGGGTTTGTATCCCCATGCTAGCTAGCTAACCCCCCCCAAACAAAAAAAACCAAATAGGGGCCGGCCCGTGGCTCGCTCGGTAGAGTGCGGTGCTGATAACACCAAGGCCCCGGGTTCGGATCCCACATAGGGATGGCCGGTTCGCTCACTGGCTGAGCGTGGTGCTGACAACACCAAGTCAAGGGTTAAGATCCCCTTACTGGTCATCTTTAAAAAAAAAAAAAAGAAAGTTTTATAGTTCAAAACATCATTGGGTTCAAATGATCCATTATCCCTCTGGAAGGCAGCACCAGCAGAAAAATTACAAACATAATTCAAAATTGTGCTTTAGTGCTGGTTTTACCTTAACCACAGTGCACAGCCAAGAGAAATTTGCAGGAGTTGAGCCAAAAAAACAGACCAAATACCTCTGGGAGAAGGCCTGAAGCAGTTCCTAATGAAAGCTGCAAAACAAGTGACAAGAATTTGTTTCTTCAACTTTGAGACTGGTCAATTCAGAACATGAATATCCTTAAGAGGAGATGCTCTGCGGCTGTTTCATTAGCCAGATTATCCTGCACTTCTAGGCTTTCAACAGGATGTGACTGGTTCATGCTCCAGGATAGAAAAGGAGTTAAAGTTTGAAGCCAGAATGAATGGCCACTATGCCTGATGTTAGACTTTCATAAGCCACCTTCTGAAAACCTGCATCTTCTATCATGTCCTTGAACTCTTCCTAGAACACAGAGAAAGATTCACTAATGACTGCTTGGATTTCAACTTTAGGGCCTCTGTTGTAAGGTATAGAAATTTGTACCTGAGATGGGAATCGTCGAATACTCTCTACAAGGTATTGATAGGACTTCCAGTCTCCTGCAATGACCTCTCCTAGGACAGGAATGACCTGGAAGCTATATAGATCATAAAGCCTAAACAAAAAGTTAAAAGATTAAGATTAGAACATGTCTCAATTTCTTACCTCTATAAGAAGCAAGAAGGTCTAAGCCTGGGTCACAAACTCAAATGCCTATAGGGACCAAACAAGTTCCTGAATAACTGAAGTGGGCAAGGTGCAAGACCAGTAGGTGTGGTGACAGGTACAGTTAGGAAGTATCACAGAAGTAGAGAAAGGGCAGTTACTACCCAGCTCTGACTACTTTATGTGGAAAAATGGGCCTACCCAGTTGCCAAGTATATTCTTTCTCAAGTGAAGCTGTAAATCCAGATCTTTATCTAAAATTTCCTGATTTTTAACTATGGACCTCTAAGTCAATTTCTTAAAATACTGTATGAGTCAAACAACATGGTGACTGGTTTGAGACTCTTCTGGCCTAGGTACTATCATCCAGAATTGGCTGACCTCAGAGGTGGCACTGTGTCTCAGGGGCTCTGGGACTCTAAAGTTCATGCTTATAGCTTACTGGCTATTTTTTAAAATCAATTTTGGGGTGAGGAACCCTACTAGACAATGAAGATAAAAGCCCTATTAACAATGCCAACCGGTCCCCATACCGTCCACCCCCCCCAAACAGACAAACACAACGCCAACCTGGATATGAGGGGATTGCTCACTTGGCTAAACTCAAGACAGAGAAACCGTCCTCCTGGTTTCAGGACCCGATAGGCTTCCTGGAGTGCCTGAGCGAGACAAGGAAGAGGACACACTCCTCAGTAGATCTCACTCAATTCCATGAGGTGAAGACAGATTTAGCTTCTGTAAGCATTGTAAAAGTTATCATTTCCCACAAATCCCTTGTTCATTCTCCATTGGGAAGCTGTAACAGCAGAAATAACCCTATGTATCCTAAACATTATAGGCATTTTGCTTCCCATGACTAGAGAAGGTTACATGGAGTAATCCAGACTGACTACAGGTTGGTACAACTCCATGAAGGGCAAGTTTAGAATCACCTCTCAAGGGCTGGCCAGTTAGCTCAATTTGTTAGAACATGGTGCTGATAACACCAAGGTTCAGGGTTCAATTCCTGCATCTGCCAGCTGCCAAAAAAAATTACCTATTAAAATCACAATGGAGGGGGGCCGGCCCGGTGGCGCACTGGATAGTGCGCCGCTTGGGAAGCGCGGCGGCGCTCCCGTCCGAGGGTTCGGATCCCACGTACGGACCGGCTCCCGCTCACTGGCTGAGCGAGGGGCAGGAGCAACGTCGAGGCTTGCG